GCTAGAAGACAGCCTTCACTATCTGGAACTGTTCTTATAACTCATTGGCAATGTTATATTGAATCACAATTTACTCATCTCTATTCTCTTTCACTCATTCAATCAAATGCATGCTTAGGCTGTTGTCTTAATTCTCATATAATAGCTAACAAATACACAATTATTATTCCCATTAATGTTTTAACTAAATTTTATGGTCAAGTTAATACACACAACAAAACTCTTAACTTTAATGCTAACCATCTTGACCTTATATATTCTATTGGAATTAGACACCCTATTCAAACTCCAAACTCTTCTAATATCACTATTACAACATACTTAATTCCAAATATCTTTGAATACAGTTCACTTACAAACAATCTTCAGCAAATTGCTAATTATAACTCCAACTTATCAGAACTTCATTTCTATACAGATGGCTTAGTTATAAACTTGGGCACCTCACAATACTCAATGGGTATTGGATGGGTTCAAGTTTCAAATAATTCTGTATTTCATACTTTCCAAGCTCAAACTAAATATTGGTTCTGCTCATTCAAGTCAGAGCTTATTGCTATTTTATTAGCTCTTATCACTGTTCCTAGAAACTGTACTATAAACATATACACAGACTCACAATCTGTAATTTCTAAATATAACAGTCTTTTAAACTTAACAATAACTATACCATATACTCATACACCATATTTCTCATTATGGAACACACTTACCAATTTCATTAAATCATACAACATTTATATTAGCTTTCACAAAGTTACTGCTCATCAGGATAACAAATATAACAACCTTACTGACCAACTAGCATGTAACCATTACAACCTGCCATACCTTATTTTTACTTCTTATAACACTTACAACTTAGCCTATACTTTAATCTTCAAGAATTTTCCCTTAGAATTACCTACTTATATAGCATTCATACAATGTGTTATGCATATATATATGCACTCTGGATAACACAAAACTGTTTTCAAAAATGGCACAAAATTCTCAACCAAGTTAACTGGCAAGTCACTGGCTTTATATTAACAATAATCAAAAAATCTTAAACTTTTCTTATAGCTTTCAGTCCTCTACTCTTAAATCCTTTAGAGTTAATATTCTATCAAATGAACTTCCTGCTCCAGACATTCTACATAAATGCTATTCCTCATATTTACCTACTTGCCATTAATACCACCAAACTAGTTCACACCTTCACTGAACAACTTATCCATCTAACCAACTACTACTTAGCCTTATCGATATCTCATTACAACATACTCTTAACTCAAATACACTCGATACTACACCTAATACTATAACCAACTTATATCACCAAATTAAACTACTCCATAGCATGTCTATTCACAATAGATCTGATGTACCATCAATTTTCTCAACTCTAACAGGCTTAATACCAAATGAACTCATTAACACTATTACAAATTTGTCTTCCAAAAAAGTAGCTATTACACTCTCTATAAAGTTTTTACTTCATCTTAATCAACAAAGCTAATACAAAATCTGAATCACCTACTGTATTTCAAGATCCACAGCCCAACCTTCTAATTTTAATTCATTACTAAATTCTGTCCCTTCTGTATCACATATCCTTACTTTGATTTAATTCGTTCTAAAATTAACTTCTGATATATCCAATAGATTAAATATTAAACTAATTCCCTATACATTATTACTAACACCCAAATCTAGGTAAGACTTGGTCACTCTGGTTGGTTTAGATCATAGATAAATTAGTCTAAGCTTCTATTTTTTCTATAATATTTTAAAAGTAGACTTGTACTTCATGTAAAATCTCAATTGAATATTCAATAAACATAGATGCATGGCATCACTATTAATATTTTTAAAAAAATAAAAAAAAATAAAAACATTATCTAAGTATCTAATGGCAATTTTTAGTAGTTAATTCATACACTTTCTGATAAATCTTATTAGATGCAGAATAAAATCGATGTTCTTTCATATCTTTTAATTCAGTATCTGAAGAATGGTTAATAATTTTTTTGATTTTTTTTTAGAAGTTTCAAATATGGTTTTGTAATGTTTGAAATTAAATTCTTCTAATTCTTTCAATTGAATTTACAATGCTATTCTATATATGAAGTATAATAATTATTATTATTATTGATAGCTTTTATATAGCTATCAAAAATTGATAAAAGACCATTTAATTTTGCAAGTTCTTGAGTTTGTTCATCAAATAAATTTAACATTTTGTATATAAATTAATTGTTTAAAAGTTATGAAAAGAAAAATTTATTTGATATAAACTGAAAAGTTATTAAGTAAAACTTATATACATGAATTATATATTATTAAAATTATTATTTAATTCGTGATTTGCGTGGGAACCAGTAAAATTTATTATTAGATTTTGGGAACATATTTGCAGATCACTTATAAAAAAAGTAAAAATGGCAAACTTTTACTTTATATTAACCAGACAAATTAAATTCCGGTTGCATTAAAGTAGTAGTACAATCGATTACGTAAGACCAAAAAAATCAAGTATTGGTATTTTTTTTTTCAAAAAGTCGATTATTAAAAACTTTATATTGGGGAAACGCCAGATTTCGCTCCTCTAAAACCTTAACCTTTGCGATTTGGGTACGTATATATGTAAACTTTTATTATATACTATCATAAATTTTTACTTGCACCATTTTTTGCTTGTGTTGCATTGCATATCTTGCGATCCAGTTTTGAATAGTTGACACTTTTGGAATATCACTTTCCTCCAGATCCCCCATTTTTACTAACTTCATTAATTCATTCCACATTTCGCTATATCTGTCGCTTTTATCAGCATTACCCACCAAAAAATATCTTTCAAATAAGCTATTACGTGCTTACTAATTCTTTTACCTGCTCTTTTTTTTCTGAATTTTTGATTTTCTTTTAGTGCCCACCCTAATGTAAGTGGAAATTCTTCATGCATGCTTTCATTTGGTAGTATGTTATAAATTTTATAAGTCTATATATTGACATAAAAAATTATGACTATGAATGGATTTAATATTACTTTTTTTCTACGCTTAGTTCTTGTAGGTAGTCAGCTGTTGAGTGATGAAAAATAACTTCTAAAAATATGGGTCAGATAATCATATATTTTGTAGAAAAATATAATAGAATAGAGACATATTACCTGATTTATGTAGTAATGGGATAAACCATGTAGATTTGGGGGTCAAATGCTGAGTTACTTAAGGATGCAGTTTTGTATTTCTTTCTTTTTCAATTTCTCTAATTTCGCCATTGAAAAATTGTTCATTCACTAATATTAGGTATAGCACGTGCTCGAAGGTATCCTGCATAATCGCCATCGCATAGCCACTCCCATGAGAACCAATTGGAGTTACTCGGTAAAGTATTGATCCATTTTTTACCTGAAACTAAAAAAAGGTTAATTTATCCAATACTTTAAATCTCATATGCTTGTCTTACCTTTAGTACATTCTGGTTCTAGATGGGCCACTGATGTTTCACAAATTCTTTCAATCGCTAATTCAATATCTGTCCTTGTGAAATATCAAATCCTAGACAGACATGACGACTGATTGCATGTGAAATCTAGAAAACATTCAAAAAAAAAATAAATAAATAAAAAATAAAAAATAATAAAATAAAATAAAAGCAAAGCAAAAAAAGAAAAAAAAAAAAATTGTAGGTAAACCTGTGCATGATGAGAATCAATAGTTGTTTTGGCTTCCCCAGCTTCGAGAAAAGTTTATTTTCTAACATGAATGTTGTACCATTCTTTCCATAGCCCCATAATCATCATTAGATCTGCATTGTAATAATGAGGACCATTATCAGACAAAAAAGAAATCCATTCTGGCTGAGAATTTAGTTCAGTTATTGTGGCATGTAATGAAGAAGCTGTGAACCAAGCATCTTGATGTGAATCCATAGACCAATAGTCAAAAGCACGAACTTGTAAATTATTGCTATTGGGCAGGCAAGTATATATTAATACTGAATGCAATGACTATCCTTTTTTTCCAAAGAAGTCTTGTTTTGTTTCATATGCACTTTTTAGTAGAACTTTCATTTTATAGTCTACAACAATTACGGCCCCTTTTTCATCAAGCTCACCTAAATGCACATTAAATTGCGCATTTAAATAAACTTTTCTTGTTTGATGTGCCAAATAGTATAATAAGTATTCTTGTAGTTCTTTTAATTCTACATGAATTTCAGATGGTATGTAATCTTGAATTTGTCTAAATAAGTAAAAAAAAACTCCACAATGATTACAGGTTAGTTTATACAATTCTGAGCAGATTTCAAAAGCATAGAGCATACAATGATTAATACAGGTATCATGTTTTATATATCCAAAAAAATCTACTTTGAGTTTATTTTCATAATCCTTTTTTAAATATCTTTATAGCTTATTACATTTAGATAATAATCGTTCCTTATTATTATTGAATTACGAATTAGTTGATATTAAAGGGCAAACACATGTCAGATTCAAAATTGACAAATTAATGACATACCTTGAATACTATTCAACTTGTAATATGATAATTTCGCAGACATTTATGTCTGTGGAATCACATGATAGAATTATTGTAGCAAACATGTTGAATAGCATTCAAAGTTTGCTAGATTACAGATTAGTATAGTATGTACGGGCCGATTTGAAAATCTGTACCATAATGAATCCGGTATTATATATGGTTGCACGAGAGGGAAAACCTATAAGTAAAAATGGTTTACCTGAAAAATTATGATGTTACTTTTATAATTAATTATATGTATAATATATATGTTTCATTACATAACATCACAATTTTTTAGGGAAAACATTTTTACTTACAGGCTTTTCCCCTTGTGCACCCATATATTAATGTTAGAGTTAGGAATTATAGCTGATCAGTACGGTATAGTTGTCTCGTACCATACTGATCCACTTATCTATATTATACTGATCTTCAAAGATGCCAATTAATATGTTGAATTTAATACCTGATGATCCAAGTCTGCATAGCATTATACTAACGCTCTAAGCTCATCAAATGTTTCATATCTATACATATTACAGATTGAGCAAAGACCACCTAAGTCTTCCTTATATATATATTGGCCACCTTGTAGATATTTATAAAATGTTGTTCTTTTAATGCTGTTAGGATACTTTTCGTAAAACCATTCTCATAAAGCCTCTTTACTATTTTTTAAATAATATATAGGTAATCCAGTAGTACTATCTGATTTGTAAGAGCTCATTACTACATTCGCTTTATTTTGAAAAAAATACTCAATTTGTTCTTTCTTTTCTGGTGCTAATTTTTCTAAAGTAATCTTAGGTTTTTCAAGTTGGATACCTCCTGAACCATTAATACACGCATATTTGCATGCTTTAGTAATTAGATAGTTTGAGACCTAAGATAAGTATTTTGTTAGTTCAAAGGTTTTTTAAAAATATTTTAATATTGCTTAGATACTAACTGGTAACTTTTTTTTGATTATTTCATAGGGAATTTTATCTGCAATAATTGACAATTTTCTTCTCTTTCCATCTATTCCATGAATGTTAACGTCTAAAGCATCCTGAAATGCACTCCAAATTGTTCTGTGACCTTTTTGTGATTTTCTGGAGTAGTACTAAGGTATCCACTTTTGTACAACTGCTTTAACATTGCTTGGTCACTTGCCGGGTCTTTTGATCGAATCCTAAATTCAAATTACAAGTAACTGTGAAGTTAGAATTATACATATATTTGTGCATCAGATTAATATTTATGTCATCTTAAAAAATTATCCTCAGTCCCATTTTTTTTTTTTTTTTTTTTTTTTACCTCCATAGTAAAATACTATGAGGGTGACGTTGTCACATTTTACTCGTTTTCACTTTAAATTTTAATCTAATACAAACTTTTTTTTTTTTTTGAACCTCATCAGGACTCCATATGGTGTATGAAATCTGAAACATATTTTAATCTAATGCATAGTATATATTTGTTTATCATTTATTTATTTTAAAAGGTTTACCACAAATTCTTTTCCGAAAGGTGTTATGTTGGTACAGCTTGTACGTTGTAATAAGGCTCTCTAGGCACGCAATTCACAACCTTTAATTATATAGTTTGGTGGATATATTTCTTGTAATTTTGTTGTTAATTCAATAAGATTACTTTCTTGATTCTGCCAGCTAATAAAAATTTTTTTTCAAATTATAGATATATTGATATGTCTTTTCAGATGATAATTAAAAAGGGTATCTATTATTTGTTCATTTTGCCAATCGTCGATGGTATACGAAAGGGTTAGTTCTTTGCTGATTTTTGACTTCGTTCATTAATGTTCAAGTCCAAATAGCATGCTTCCTTAAATTGTGCTAATATACCAATTTTACTCCAAACAGAATTAGGGTTAGTATCACAAAAAATCTAAATTTCTTGAAAATTTTAATAAATTCTAACAAATGCATTATTATTATTAAATTTTTAAAAAAATATCATTCAAGTTTTGCGAAAGTTATGCACAAAAGAGCTTTGGTATCCTTTTCCAGCATAATTCCAATCGGAGTTGTTCGATTTACCAATTTCGAAAATAATCACGTTTAAGTTTCCAATTTTAAAAGTATAAGGATGAAAATAATTATCGGAAAATAACATTTTACATATCTCTGAATCATCATAACCTATAACTAAGAGACTATCTAATCTAGTTTTTGTAGAAAAAGTTTGTTGATATATAGAAGTAATTGCTTCTGAGGAACTTTAACATATATTACTTTGCAAAGCTTCTGATTAACATATATACCCAGGTTCAAAATTATTCTGAACAACTGTAATTATGAAGTCACGCTGGTTTACTGTAGTTATAGTTTTTATCCCAAGATGAATTGGATAGAGAAGTGTATATGTTAAGTCATTATGAGTTGGACATGAAATCCACCAATCTTTAGCATATGGCCCAAAATGTAAGTTTTGTATTAGTTCACCTTGTAATATAATTGTAACTTTGTATTTTGACATGTTAGTGTATTTACTAATATAAGATTGAGCTTTATGTACTAAAGGCTTTGTTGATGTGCTGTGTAAATTACTTTTATATTGACATGTTTTTTTAAAATTACAAATTGTTATGCTTTGTAAATTTTATTTATAATCACTAACAGCTTGTTGAATTTAGAGCATTTAAGCTCAAAAGTTATTTTATTTTGATCAATATTTATAAAAGATTGAAGTTCTACAGTATGCTATCCTGAATAATGCTTATCAAAACTTTTAACTTAAAATAAGCAGAAACAGGAATTTTAGTAAAAGAATGCTATTGATGTATTTCGAAATGTCTAAACTTATCACTTTTTTCAAATCAAACAACTGAATTCTGTGGATTTTACTATATGAGCCCCATGCATTACTACTATAAAACAATTGAAATTTATAGATTCGATTGTCTTGTTAATTTGAAAAGTCCAATGAATAAGATTAAAATTTTTCATGTTTAGCAAAAGAGGTGCCTGTGGTCTTAAAGCCCGTAATATGTACATAAAAATTGAACTAAATTTGGTATTTCAAGCCAAATACCAAACACTTTAATTCATGTTCATATTGAATTTTAAGAGTTGGGTATCTGGTTTGATATACCAAACTTAGATTTTATTTATGTACAGGTAATTTTAAGGGTTGGGTATCTGGTTTAATATACCAAACTTAGAATTTTATTACAATCATTTATATGCAAGTAATTTATTTTGAAATAACTCACATGAAAGCGATGATACTCAGTGTGCAGTGATAGATAAAATGCAAATCATACATATTGATACTTTGAGTGTCCAGACTCGTGCATTTTGATTGTGATAGCAATTAAAATTAGGGATAGCAATAACAATAACGAGCAATTATTACTATACACATCATAGTGTTTAGTTAAATTTAGATCAAAAAAGTTATATATTATGTGCATTGGCCTTTATTATGTTGATATTAAGCAATATTTATCGAGCTATTATTTTTAAATACGAAATTTTGCTTGTCGGTCAATAAAACCTTTCATTATATAAGAAAGAAGGTATTTACATCATTAATAATAAAAAATAAAAAATTATTATTATTTCAAAAAATTTAATACAAATATTGCACTATTTTATGACGATACACAGTGTGGCTCTCCAAAGTTCAGATTGACAATTAGCATCATTCCTGCAGTATATAATGGTTTATAGAATAAATTCGTTAATAAAATACTGTGTTGGTCACAGTTAGAGGTGCAGGCGGAACTTGAAATTGGAATGGCTCATAAAGTAACTGAGTTATAACTCGTTATAACTTTTTTTTTACAGCTATTATCATAATTCCTGGGACACTTGATAAAATTTACTGAATGATTTTTCGGCTGATTCGGTTAATTTATTGATTTCAGCATGATCGGTATATATATTTTATATGTAATATATACATATCAATTTATCTATTGAATCTATATTTCCAAAATCACAAACTTAACCGAATCGGCCGAAAAATCGGTCGGCCAATTTTTACAGGTGTTCTAGGAATTATGATAACAGCTGTAAGTTACGACATGCTGTAACTTTGCGTACATGGCAGAATTAATTTTTCACGTTATAACTTTTTTATATATTCACAGTTATATCATTTATCAACTTAAACTTTAGGAAGGCCACCCCAGTGGTATTTGTCATATTTAATACATTAGATAGTACTAAGTATTTAATTAGAATCAATGTTTTTTTCTTAGTATTATTTATTTAAAAGCTAGATATCTTTAATGTATTAGTATATTTTTTTAAAAAAATAATGTAAATATATAAAAATTAAATTTTTTTATATTGGAAACGCGTAGATTCGAAAATTAAGTAAAATTGTATACATAGATTATCCCCAACTTTTATTATTATAGATTACTGGTTTCCACGTAGATTATGAATTAAATATTAATAATATTTATTTTATTAATTATGTTATATAAGATTGTTATTAAAAAATTATGAATACGATAATTGAATTTCAATAATCGATTGTATTAAAATTAAAAAAGATTAACAAAATATAAACAAAAAAATACAATTATCTGATATAGAAATTGATATACAAATAAATTAATAAATAATCTTTATAAATAAAGAATAAAGTGGATGGGGTCCTGTAGCCTAGTAGTCTAGACACCTCTCTTTCCACAGACAAGGTCATGGTTCAATCTTAGCTAGAGGCAACTTTGTAATCTATAGAAGCATATGAATATACGTAAAGCCCTGTGTAAGTCCATATAATTAGAAGATTGGTATATAAGAAAGTTTCCAGAAAAAAGATTTCCGATATAGAGAGTTGGCGCTCAATGCGAGAGAAGTGATGAACATACCAGAAATGGAGAGAAGGTGCACTACAGGGTGATATGGTAAACATAAAAGAAAACTATGAAAAAGGAATGGACTTACTGAAATTTGAACACTTCTGGCACCAAACCAGTTCTATTAGATATGGGATCTACTAAATTAGATAAATCTAAGGAGTAATCTTGGTACCATACTTAGTGAGTCTGCATCAAGAGTAAATTCAAGGAACTATAGATACCTGGTAATATCCAATAAGGTGGTACCTTGATATAAATAGTAATTAGATAGCCCTAATCTGGCATGTCCATGTGATAATAGAAGCATTGCATATATGCAATAGAATTGAAATCAGAAAGTTTAAATAGGGGATTCATAGGCGGATCTCAGGTATGACAGCTAGTGAGTAACCCTTGGGTGGAACCCTTAATTAGATAATGACTAAAGTTATATGTATGACAAGTTATATTTTCATTGATAGACTTTGTATATACTTGAATAATGATATATTATCCAATAAAGACAGACAGGCAAGATTGCTGCTTTAAAAAAAAAAAAAAAAA